CTCCCTCCTCCGTGGTCCGTGCACCACAGCATTTCCCATCAAGGTGAACAGATTACAAAACTAACCAACCAATAACGTCTTTCCAAGAGTTTTCCTGGTACAATTTAGCGGAAAACCAGCGTGACACGACTTCTACAAATGAAAGCAACCCCCAATCTCCCACAAGTCGAGAGGCTGCTGCACGAGAGAGGATGTCCCGCAGCAAAACCCCCGGGAATTCCTGGTACGAGCACCCGCTTTCAGGCGATGGATGGAAATGCCGATGCATTTCACAGACATTTCCAACATAAAGACAATGGAGAAGTCCAGGCTTGGCCGCATGGTTTTGCCAATACGACCGTCAGCAGGTAGAGCACAAGAAAGCATCGAGTAATTCAGCGCCATAAAACCACACCAGCAGCAAGGGCCTTCCCAGTGCAGCCCAGTCTCACTGGGGAACTGGTTTACGAGACAAGGATAACGCACTTTTTTGGGGATAAGCTGCATCTCCACCAGGAAAACACTGATCCAAGGTTGCTCCCATACAGACCTGCAATCCCGTTGAGTGGGCAAGTCCTCCGTGGCTCATCCAAGGTGGCTGAGCAAGCCAGAGGTGGACGTGCAAACCCACGCTCATGGACCAGGCTCTTAGAAATGCTCTTTAAGTGCATTTTTTCTGTCCGCTATGAGCTTGCAATGCCATTTCCTACAAGAAGAGGCAGCATGACACTGTTCACCTCTGTGCAGATCACAAATACCTCCCGTATTTGTGCGACTCTACAACGCCTGCGCAAGGAACACCCTGATTTATCTCATTGAGAGCATTTCCAAAACGCTTCCCTGCTGTTGTGCTCACCTCCCCGTGCTGATGCACATCAAGTTGAATACATCCATGGGGGAAAACAGTGTTTCAGCTCCAAGACTGGGAATGAGGCTGGATCCAGTATCAGAAATGGGCAGTGGATGCATGGTTTAGTGGTGGACTTGGCAGTGCTGGGCTAACGGTTGGCCTCGATGATCTCAAAGGCCCTTTCCAACCTAAACGATTCTATGAATCTACTCCACTCTCGTGAGACCCCACCTGGAGCACTGCGTCCAGCTCTGGAGTCCCCAACATAAGAAGGACATGGACCTGCTGGAGCGTGTCCAGAGGAGAGTCACGAGGATGATCCGAGGGCTGGAGCACCTCTGCTATGAGGAGAGGCTGAGAGAGTTGGGGCTGTTCAGCCTGGAGTAGAGAAGGCTCTGGGGAGACCTTATTGAGGCCTTCCAGTACCTAAAGGGGCTCCAGGAGAGCTGGGGAGGGACCTTTTACAAGGGCATGGAGTGATAGGACGAGGGGGAATGGCTTTAAAGTGGAAGAGGGCAGGTTTAGATTAAACATTAGGAAGAAGTTTTTCACTTTAAGGGTGGTGAGCCCCTGGGGCAGGTTGCCCCGAGAAGCTGTGGCTGCCCCATCCCTGGAGGTGTTCAAGGCCAGGTTGGACGGGGCTTGGAGCAACCTGGGCTGGGGGGAGGTGACCCTGCCCAGGGCAGGGAGGTTGGAACTCAATGATCTTCAAGGTCCTTTCCAACCTAAACCATTCTATGATTCTATAAAATATCACTTCATTTATCTGCTCCTGGAAAATAGATAATTAACATCAATTAATTGGGCTAGTTGTGCTCCTCTGCAGCCAGCTAAAGGCTGGTGAGGAGCCTTGAGTAACCCTAAAAATCCCACCCCCCTGAAACACAACGTATTTCGACACCACGAGCCAAACATCCCCTTTCTTATATCCTAGCCAAAAGGGACGCAAGTGTTATTGTGCGCGATGACTTGCACGGGTATTGCTTTATTTATTCCACATGGCAGGCGTGAAGCTGCTTATATCCACAGGGAGAAAAAAACCAACCCAAACGGGCAGGATTATTTCTTATTCTCAGCTGTGCCCATTGCAGGATTGATTCGGCCGACAATCTGTGAAATGCAGTTAATGAGCTTGGGTTTCTGTCGCCCCGAGTCGCTCCAAGGATGAGATTTCCTACCCTCTGACGTGTCAATTATCCACTTCCAAAGTCGGTCCGGGTTGTGAAAACAGAGTATTAGCCGCGATTCATGAGTATTAGCGCAGAAGGAAAAATATAATCGGAAATTTCAAGTACTTATCCTTCTTTGGAATAAGCCTAGACAGAACGAACACAATAGCGTATAGCTTTAAAAGCAGACAAACGAAAAAGAAGATGAAATGTTCTCCACCAGCAACATAACTTCAGCTTTGGCAGAAAAACATTTTCTGGGCTTAGAAGCTACAGCGCGTTCCCAGTTGCTTTGATGGACAGGAGAAAGAGGGTTATATATTAGAGGTATAACCGAGCCTGGGCAAATGCCCACTGCTACCATGTAGCATCCAAACAGAAAGAAAAAAGTCAGTTGATAGGGAATTAATGAAAAATTAATTTTTAAGCAAGCAAGTTATCAGGGCTATTTAAACACCAGGAGCATCACTTGGATACTCAATTGGAAACTCCTCCAAACACCCGGGGTCAGGAGGCAGCTCTCGAAGGGAGCAGGCGGTATCGCACTGCGATAGAGACCCGATGGGAAACCTCCTCTTCTGCTCGCTCGCCGCACAGCTTTGATCCCAGCCGCCACCTACCGCAGGTGGCACAAACCCAGCCCTATCGAAAAGCAACGATAATCTCATCTGCTCGCGCAGAAGCAAAGACAATATTGGTTTTCCAATTTGGGCTCCCATCTGTACTAATTGGAAATGCAAATGCCGAGCAATTTTTAAAAGCGATATTGCAAGCCAGCACAAGTGAGCGTTAGCTACCCAGAGCGCTTGATTTTAATAAACCAATCAACCCAAACCAGTGGGAGATGAAGGTGTTAAGCAAACCCTTAGCATGCAAGGCACGCGCGCGCTGGCAGGAGGGCCCCGTGGACCAGCACGGATTATTCATCCAAAAGCAACTTCTTCACCAAGGGAGAGTCGGAGGCAGCCCAAGAGCCCACAGAGCTGTCACGGAGCTCATCAATGGACGTTGACCCTGGTCAAGGGTGATGGAAGAGCTTCGCCCCCTTCCGAAGGGAGGGAACGGATTATAATTCAGTTTATAAACCCCTGCAGCCTCCTGCTCCTCACTGGAGGCAGAGGTATTACCCCAGAGCAAGGGCAGGGGAGGAGCTGCAGGCAGGATGGGTGGTCGGGTGCTCAACCTGACCCTGGAAAACAGGACAGGAGTGAACATCTTTGTCCTACCGTCCTGGATCTCTTCCAGTTTGGACTCCAAAGGTAGCTTTTCCCTCTGCTAAGAACTCCCTTTCAAAAGGAAAAAACGCTATTTTCTATCGGCATTATCACAGCTAAAATAAACTTAACGGTGGAGACTTTGCTCCACCAGAGGCGGGATCTCAGCCCCAAAAGTAATTCCCTTGTTACCCCAGGAGGAAGGCAGCAGCGTTTCCCACAGACGTTGGGAGGCATCCAGCCGTGGATAACAGGGAAATTAGGGTGCCAGCTCTGCAATTTAAATATATCCTCCCCCTGTTACCCCTCTGCTGACTTCGCGGTTGAGCAGAAAACACCGAGCAGTCACATCACGCAAGCATTTAAATCCAGGAAGGGGCACACCGTTGCTGTAAGGTGTGGTGGTGACTCGTTAGGATACATTAATTTTCCTCCTTGACATCACAGAATCACAGAATCTCCCAGATTGAAAAAGATCTGCAAGATCATCTAGTCCAATCCTTAACCTCACACTGCCAAACCCACCACTAAGCCATGTCCCTGAGCACTGTATCTACACAACCCTTAAATCCCTCCAGGGATGGGGACTCCACCGCTGCCCTGGGTAACGCCTTCCAGTGCCTGATGACCCTCTCAGTAAAGAAATTCTTCCTAATATCCAACCTAAACTTCCCTTGGTGCAACTTGAAGCCATTTCCTCTTGTTCTATCACCGGTTACTCGACAGAACAGGTCGACTTCCACCTCTTTGCAACCTCCTCTCAGGGAGCTGTAGAGAGCAGAAGGTCTCCCCTCAGCTCCTCTTCTCCAGGCTGAACACCCCCAGGGCCCTCAGCCGCTCCTCACCAGACGTGTGCTCCAGACCCCTCACAGCTCCGTCGCCCTTCTCTGGACACGCTCCCACCCCTCAGTGTCTGTCTTGTCGTGAGGGGCCCAAAACTGAACACAGCACTCGAGGTGGGGCCTCACCAGTGCCGAGTACAGGGGTAAAACCACCTCCCTGGTCCTACTGGCCACACTAGTGCCGATACAGGCCAGGATGCTGTTGGCCTTCTTGGCCACCTGGGCACATGCTGGCTCATGTTCAGCCGGCTCTCCACCAACACCCCCAGGTCCCTCTCTGCTGAGCAGTTCTCCAGCCACTCCTCCCCAAGCCTGTACGTTGGCGGGGGTTGTTGCGGCCAAAGTGTAAGACCCGGCAGGTGGCCTCAGTGAAACTCGTACAGGTTGCCCTGGCCCATCCATCTCCTCTGTCTAAAGCTCTCTGCACAGCCTCCCCACCCTCAGGCAGATCAACACTCCCACCCAGCCTGGTGTCCTCTGCACACTGACTGAGGGGGCACTCCATCCCCTCATCCCAATCACCGATGAAGATGTTAAACAGGACTGGCCCAGTACCGAGCCCTGGGGGACACCACTCATGACCGGGCACCAACTGGAATGAACTCCATTCACCACCACTCTCTGGGCCCGGCCTTCCAGCCAGTGTTTTACCCGCAAAGCGTATGCCCATCCGAGCTGTGAGCAACCAGTTTCTCCAGGAGAATGCTGGGGGAAACGGTGTCAATGGCTTTACTAAGGTCCAGATAGACAACATCCACAGCTTTTCCCTCATCCACTAAGCAGGTCACCATGTTGTAGGAGGAGATCAGGTTAGTCGAGCAGGACCTGCCTTTCATAAACCCATGTTGACTGGGCCGGATCATCCAGTTGTCCTGTGCGTACTGCACCTACTGAGATCACCCAGACCATCCCGGGGGCTGCCCGGAGAGCGCGGTAACGGCCTTACCGTCTTCAGCAGAGTCCGGTTGTCCCTGAGGCTCCCCACCATGCCGACGAAGGAGACGCCGAACATGGTGAAACCCAGCAGGAGGAGGATGATGGCCGGAGCCAGGAAGATTCCTTCCAAGGTTTTGTGCTTCTGCCTCTCCACTTCGGCATAAATCCCAACGCACAGGATCATGAGGCCGAGGACCTGCAAGGGAAGCACGGGATGGGATTAAGATGCCAACAGGGAAAAAACAGAAGCTTTGAGGGAGAGGTGGAAGACGTCCCAGACGGCCAAGGAAAATCCACCCAACGCTTTCCAACCCCAAACGGTGCCGTCAGCGCTCGGCGCATCCCCTTTGCTCAAGGCTGGGCTGCTCTTCCTCTGGCTGGGAAGACGACGTATAATTGCAGCGGGATCAATCCAGCCGGGCAGCTTTCAGCCAGGTTTTGCTACGTTTTTCCTCTCCCCTCCCTGCCCGCATCTTTTGGGTCCATCCGCACGCTCAGCTTGGCCTTTGCCGTGGGTCCGAGAGTCGTGAACACTCACAGCCCACCCTCCCAAACGCCCCCCCTGAGACAACACCATCCCCAAAACGACTCGTTTGACTCCAGCATTTTTACACCCAGCTCGAGCACCGACTCGCACCCAAACCCACGGCGAGCCGCTCGCCCTCCCTTCGCACGCCAGCACTGACAATTAGGAACACAGCTAACCGCACCGCTACGAAGCGCTTTTGATCCCTGGATGAAAAGTGCCATAAAGAAAAGCAATGGATTATTTATGACAACCTTCTTCCCCTCTCTTCTCCTTCAATGAAACAGCTCTAATTGAAAAAGAGCGCCCAACGATGCCGGGATAAAGCAGGGCTCCAAAAAGGGCTCTTTACATCCCTTCAGCTCCTTCAACATCAAAGCCAGCGACGCCATCCCAAGCGTTTGGTGCTGTCAGGAGCCGTTCGCATCATGCCCGTCGGCCCCGCGGCGCAGCCGGAGGCGAGCGGCTTCTCAGCCGGCGCCGAGCTGACACCTGAAAAGGTCAACAAGGAAACCGAGGAGCATCCGGAGCCCTTTTCACGCTGCTTTTTGCAGCTCTCCCCACCCCAGATGACAGCGGGAGGCTCCTGAGGGAAAGCCCCTGGCCGCAGACACGCACACTCAAAAATCTACACCCTCCAAAAAGGAGAAAAAAATCCCTTTTTATCCTTCTGTTCCATCACTTTCTCCTTTTCCATCTCTTCCACCTTTCCAAAAGGCTTCATCGCTCCTAATGAATTTGCTCAAACTCTTCCTGCTAATTCACACCAACAATTCCATCCTTAATTTTCATGCACAATCTTTGCTTTTCGGGGGAGTTGATTTGTTGGGTTTTTTTTTTCCTTCTCCGCTCTGCCTGGACACTATTTCTGGTGCGGTTTTGTGGCAAGTTCATGTCTATCAATCACTGTCGGGTTCCAGGCTCCGTCTTGTCTATAAAGGAACTGAAATTTCTCAGAAAGTGAAATTCAGACTCATGATATTTTAGTTGTTTGAAACTAAACAGACAAGCTTATTCCTATTAACAGGCTTTTAATCACAGTTTCATCTTTCTACTCTATTTTAAGCATCAGGTTGGTGTGTTGGGATTAGGTTTGATTTAATGTTTATCTTTTATACGGTGTCCCAGGAAATACATTTGGCTTTGAAGGCGGGGGGTAGACATTAATGCACACCATGCGTCCCCCGCTAATCCCCGCCGTTCCTCCCGCGTGCCAATCAGAACCACTTTCACTGTTTTAATTAATCCATCTGTGATGCCAGTGAGGGAAGAGATCATGGAAAGAGCACGGAGCAAAGCCGGGAGGGGGTTGGAGGGTTGGATGCTCGAGGGGCTGAGGAAGCAGCACCTACGGGATGGGCTTCACAGCATCCCAGAGTGGTGGGGGTGGGAAGGTCCCTCTGGAGCTCCCCCATCCCACCCCCCGCCAGAGCAGGGGCACCTCCAGCAGTGGCACAGGACGGCGTCCAGGCGGGTTTGGGATGGCTCCAGAGGGGGAGACTCCCCCACCTCTCTGGGCAGCCTGTGCCACTGCTCTGCCGCCCTCACAGCAGAGAAGGCCCTCCTCAGGTGGAGATGGAACTGCCCATGGTCACCTTTGTGCCCGTTCCCTCTTGTCCTGTCACTGGGCACCGCTGGAAACAGACTGTTCCCACCCCCCGGCACCCTCCCTTGAAGGAGTGATCAGCGTTGAGAAGATCCCCCTCAGTCTTCTCTTCTCCAGACTGAACAGCCCCACGTCCCTCAGCCTCTCCTCATCACAGAGATGCTCCAGTCCCCTCAGCATCTCCGCAGCCCTTTGCTGGACCCCTTGTACTTCACCTGACAGCAAGGGAGAGGAACCGAGGAGGTTCTGCAGGATGGACACCTGAATTGCTTACAAATAGCTTTGCCAGGGCTGAAAGTATCCTTGAAAAATTTAAAGCATGTGGTGTGCACAAGGCTCCTGTAGAGCGGTGCTAGTCCTTCCTCCCAGCATCGCCACGGCCATCCCTTCAGCAGGGAAACCCCCCACCAGTGCCAGGCACAACACCCTGCTATTTTGGAAGGGGGTGTGCACTGCTTATTTGTCATGCAAATGCACGGAGGGAATGCAAATGCAGTGGGGAAAAGGCACTGCATGGCATGGGGAGATACTGCCAGCAACCCAAGCCACGCTGCATGGCTTTTTTGGGGTATCATGGTGTAGAAAAGGCTGCATGTTGTCTATGCCCAAGCAACCCAAACTAGTCCCCGGGACTAAAAATCACAGACTGGTTTGGGTTGGAAGGGACCTTGAAGACCACCCAGGGCCACCCCCTACCCTGGGCAGGGCCACCTCCCCCCAGCCCAGGTTGCTCCAAGCCCCGTCCAACCTGGCCTTGACCACCTCCAGGGATGGGGCAGCCACAGCGTCTCGGGGCAACCTGCCCCAGGGGATCACCACCCGCACAGCCAACAATTTCTTCCAAATATCTCATCTCAATCTCCCCTCTTTCAGTGTCAAACCGTTCCCCCTCGTCCCCTTCTCTTCTCCAGGCTGAACCCCCCCACCTCTCCCAGCCTGTCCTCCCAGCAGAGGGGCTCCAGCCCTCCCAGCATCTCCGGGGCCTCCTCTGGCCCCGCTCCAACAGCTCCGTGTCCTTCTGCTGGTGGGACCCCCCGAGCTGGAGGCAGCACTGCAGGGGGGTCTCCCCAGAGCAGAGCGCAGCAGAGGGGCACAATCCCCCCTCGCCCTGCTGGCCACGCTGCTGGGGATGCAGCCCGGGGTGCCGGGGGCTTTCTGGGCTGCGATTGCACACTGCCGGCTCATGGGGAGCTTCTCACCCACCAACACCCCCAGGTCCTTCTCCTCAGGGCTGCTCTCCAGCCATTCCCCACCCAGCCTGGAGTTGTCACAAGCAAATATTGAGCAAATCCACCTGAATTTCTTGCCCGTCTCTTTGCTTAGCTCTGAGTTTAAAAGGTCACCCGGCCCCTCGCACCTTGCTTTACTAAGGGTTACCACTGCAGGGTGGACCCCAGCCCATCTCCACACCCCGCCGGCTAAAAAGCACTCTCCAATTAAAGAAAGAAAATAAAATAAAAGAGTTGTTTCTACTCAAAGAAGCTTAAAGCACAAGAAAGCATCTTGCAAAACAACACATACCTCCAGGAAGGGAATGGATCGACTGGCACGTCTCCCAGCAAAGGCAGACCGCAAAGGAAGGCTCGCTAGAATATAACAAGTTTTGGAAGGACGAGCAGGGAGCGATGCTGCTACAAGATCGGTGGCAGAGGGATTTGGATGGAAGATAGCTGGGGAGAAAAACCAGCATTCACTGAAAAGCAGTGTTTCTGTAAAAAAATGTTGGATTTGGAGCAAACTGGCGACATCAAAGTCTTTGCCAGGACCTATGCAGCACCATAAAAAAACCGCAAAGGGAAATAACCACGTATTTCATCAAAAAACATGATCATCCCAACCCCTTTTGGTCGGAGATGAGCATCAAAAGCAGTAGGAAGAGTTTGCATCACGGCTGGCAAAGCCTGGCTGCCCTGATTTCCATCACTGGGTTTCTCACCAATTCAATCAGCACGGATATTTTCGATTCCTGCCGTCACAATCCTCTCCTACCACCCACACTCGATGACATGGTACGGCGCATAATGAAGTTTACTGGTAAATCCTTTGTAGTTACATATTAATTGCCCGGTGATCACCTCAATACAGCACAAACACCAGGACAGACAGCAGCCGGTAATTACAACTGCTCTGCAATGCATCTAAGAGAAAACGCAAATCTGCGCTTACCCTCTAACGAGAAGATGATTACCCCGTTTCTATATGACAACCACCACGCGATTGAACCATCACGGCGGGGAAAGCCAAGGGGGTGGCTGCAACTCCGCCAGACCGCGTGATGAAGGCGTCCCACATCAATTCTCCTCTTATAAGCTGGGGGGGAAAAAAAAATCACCTTCGGGTTTTCATTTCAGCCCTGCTTGTCTTCAGCACTTGTTGGGATTTGTAGGAGCTGAGTGGGCAGGAGATGGAGGGCAGCGAGCAGCCGCCACGGGACGTCTAACCACCCCCGGATGGATAAAATTGCAAACTTGAATGTCTCAGCCCGACACAAGTTGCTATGACCAACCCTTCTCCACCTTTGCGGCCCATTTCCAAAGCTGTTTCGCCCCAACTTCGTCTCTTCAGTGGGATAACAGGACACTGGTTTTCCTCTCCAGGCAATTCTCCATCTAATAGCAAGGAAAGAGCCAGGGACCTGGAAGGGAGAAGAGCTAAAGGTGGAAATCACTGTCCCACGGATGGCAAAATCATTTAAACACCTGGAGGTCAAGAAGTGGGATGAAAGGCAACTAATGAACAGAAAATAACACAATACACAGCTCTGAGGACGCTGGCAGAGTTTGGGAGGTGCCAAATGGGTGGCTGGAGCTCGCAGATAACCTACAGGTGAAACATGGAGTTTGTAAAGCTCTCTTTAAGTCATGGGCTTTCTGGTGCTTACGACTGCTTCTCCATCCTCACACGACTTGGCTTTGGCACAGAGGCAGCTACCTGGTGTCGTGGATGGAGCAAAGAAGGATGGAGAACACCATTAGTGGGGAAACTTTTCTTGGATGGTCACCACTAGCAACAAGAGTTTTTAATCTCATGCTTCACACAGTTGTGATTTTACTAAGTCTAACATTAACGTGTCTATTGCTTATAATCATATTGTAAATAAAGGTTTGGTACATGATAAAACAAATAACCGAACTCCAACCATCAACAATGTACAAGCTAATACGCAGCAAAGAGCAGCACTTCCACGTCTAATTGCAGTGGACCTGTAAGCGCATAAATTACCAATATACTATTTATGGCACAGAGGCAAGAGGTGACTGTACCACCACCCTGTGAGAAATAAGATGAATTGACTCCAGCGACAGAGTGGAGCGTGACCACGTCCTCCCCCCTCTTCCTTCCCCAGGCCTTTATCTCCCGTAACGCTGCCCCAAGCGATAACCACCTGTGGTGGTCATAATGGGGACATCTAGTCGTGATGGCCGCACCCGGCTCAACGTGGTTTTGGGGAGACAGACAACCCCACAACGGCCAAGGGCGAACTTGAGCAACCTGTGGGCAACATGCAAATATGACTATAGGTTGATCATCTGACCCCCATAAATAGCGAACAGCCCAAGAGCCCTTTGAGCTCTCCTGCACAGCACGCCAGGATCTCCCCTTGAGCGGGGACGCCACTCAAGGTTACTCCTCGAGGGTCAGAGACTCCTTGCCTCAACAAATCCTCACTAAGTGACCAATAGCACACTAGACTTTGAAATCTTAGCTAAGAGATATGAAGGATTGATTGTGCATGTATAATCCTTTAGACATAAACCACTGACCAAGTCTGGGAGTAGGATTGGATCCAGCTGCACCCAGACTCCTCTCGAAGGAGGAGTTGAGAAAGCTGGGGGGTCCTTTCTGAACCTCATGACTCAACAGAAGGGTCTCCCTGACAGTTCTGTCTGACCCCCTCAGTAAATAACCGAGTGTGCCTTGCCATTTCGAATCTTGTTAAAGCACTGTCTCATTTACCATCAAACTTTGTTAAATCCCTGTTTTGTACCAACAAATGTATTGCTGCTTCTCGCTATGAGTGAAGTCCATCGCTGCATCTGCAACACCTGATGCTGACAAGAGATGTGCATAGTCCCACCAGTGCTGACAAGAGAAACATATGGTCCTACCCAGTCCTAAAAATCACAGACTGGTTTGGGTTGGAAGGGACCTTAAAGATCACCCAGTTCCCACCCCCCTGCCCTGGGCAGGGCCACCTCCCCCCAGCCCAGGTTGCTCCAAGCCCCGTCCAACCTGGCCTTGAACACCTCCAGGGATGGGGCAGCCACAGCTTCTCGGGGCAACCTGCCCCAGGATATCACCACCCTCACGGTCAACAATTTCTTCCAAATATCTCATCTCAATCTCCCCTCTTCCAGTTTAAACCATTCCCCCTCGTCCCACGGCTCCCCTCCCTGATGCAGAGTCCCTCCCCAGCTCTCCCGGAGCCCCTTTAGGCACTGGAAGGGGCTCTGAGCTCTCCCCTTTTTCGCCTTCTCTTCTCCAGGCTGAACCCCCCCACCTCTCCCAGCCTGTCCTCCCAGCAGAGGGGCTCCAGCCCTCCCAGCATCCCACTAAAAATCCCACTAAATACCTAAGAGATGCCACACTCCCCTTGTCCAAGACCCAAAAGACCCAAGTAACGGGATTTACTCTCAGCCACCAGCAGAGCAAATGGGTACCACCAGTCCAGGGGACATTAAAACGGCCAAAGCAGCTCAACCTTGAAGCCTGCCAAGGACCAAGCAGAAGACACGGCTTGTTCCAGGGTGAACGGCATTAATTGGATGAGTCAACGCCACGCTAACGCGAGGCAGTAATTTCTCCTTATTCGGGAATACCGAAAAGTCACGATGACGGTGCCTTCAAGCCCACGCAGACCCCGGCAGCCAGATCCCGTGAGTCAGAGCAGTGGTCCGGGGAGGAGCAGAGGGAATGGGCCATCACTTCATTCTCCATCCAAGATGACCAGAGGTGCAAACGAAGGGCAAAACTCTTGTTTTTCAAATCCCCAGCTCACAGCAAAATCGCTCTTCCCAGCTTTTGAAGACCCGTCTGCCTTCAAATTAGCAGACGGGGCGCTCCTGCTCCTCCTCAGGTTTTATTGTAGCGTGCAGGCGAGAAACCGTGGTATAGAAAGTGCTAAATGCTTTTAGTCATTAAAAGATAGAATCACAGGATTAATAATACAGCGATTAAATACATCATATAATGCTTAACTGCTGACGGTACGTAGGAATGTAAAAAAATACGCTTTTATAAGGGTCGGTCAATTAAAATAGCTTTTTCATTTTTATGGGCAAAGTAAGAAAAGGAAAGAAGCATTTCTTTTCAAAAAGAAAAGTAGTCTATGCTCCGCTGAACCCTCGACAACGAGGATTAAATCTACCGGTACAAAACCAGCAGGTTCAACTGTGATGCTCAAACCTCTCTGCCATTTGCTCCGTATTTGGTTTAAAGCCACTCTCTGGCTCGTCCCACACTCCTTTACTGATTTTCCTACTTATAAATACGTGTTTTCATTACGGGAAAGCACTGGAAAGGATCTAGCAGCATTAGACCCAGTTTTCTGCAGACTGGGACAACCCTACGCTAGAAAACCATGGTCGATCTCACCCCAAACCTCTTTGAAACTTCGTGGTGAACCAACTCAATTCAGCCCACTGAATTTTTACGCGGGGGAGGTGTTTAAATTTTTGAAGCTTTCACGCGATGCAAGGCAGAAATTCCTACACGATCCATTTTTTTATCGAGTGCATTTGGCCAGAGAGAAACCCAGCCCCGGTCACGGCTGGTTAATGAGGTTTTGAAGGGTTCGTCAGCGCCGTTGAATTAATACGGCGGCGACATGTGCAAATGAGGCCAGAAGTAGGTCAGGCGGCTGAAAAAGCTCACGGGAGCTGCGTGATCCCTATGGATTCGATGGGGCAACGTCCCCGCGCGAGGACTGTCCCGGGGTTGAAGGCAGGCTGGGTCAGGGTGACTCAAAGTGGCTTTTTTGCAGCTATTTTCCAGTCGATGGGAGATTATCATGTCTCTTCTTGCTGGCGGAATCACAAGGGTGCCCCACTGAGCCCCACAAAAATGCCCCAGAAATTAATAAGCATTGAGACTGTGCGGGTTCATCCCATTGTTAATTACATTTGCAAAGCGCAGCCCCAACCCGGGTTCAAATTAGTTGGGAGAAAACAAACCAACCTGCACCTCCTCCCCATCCCTACAGCTGCTTAAAGGCGTTTTGGGAAACCTCAAACTGAGTAAAACTCAGCTCTTCAGAGAAACCAAAACTCCGGTGACGGTGTTTCCCGCAGATTAATTTTGCAAGCAAAAGTAGTGCGCTAGCCTCAAACTCAAACCACAGCCACAAATGGGTTAAGAAATCCGGGTTTTTTTTGGTCTCGTTGGGTGCAGCGGGTGTCCCACGAGGGTCCCGGCCACCCCACGGGATGTACTCGTGTCTCCTCTCCCCTCGGGAGCCTTCCTACCCAGCAAGCCACGAGGAAATCGGGGAAATCTACGTTAATCCTCTTTTTCTTACCCTCATTCGTGCCCCGGGGTGGGCACAAGTCACCCAACGCAGTGAGATGACGACATCCCCAGCTAGCCGGGGCGAGCGCTGCCCTCCCAAGGAGGTAATTTATTAAAAATAAATAAATAAATAAATAAAATAAGGAAAGAGAAAGCATTTTCAAACTCCGCCTGTAACCCTGTTTACTGGTCACAGCCTGTCTGGGAACTCAGGCGGATATTTCTGCAATTACACCTATACAAATTAGATAACGCATACCGCTATACGCTCCCAGCAGGCAGCTACGCGAGAGGGAACGATGATTAATTAGACCTCAAGAGGAAATACCTGTAAATACGGACCGGATTACCCAAGATTAACCCCAGGAAGGTGCTAACTTTCTACGTCGTGCCTTAACCGAGGGGTCACAGACCCTAAAGTGATGGGGAATTCCTTCTCCCTCCCCTTCTCCGACATGTGCCGGCACCTCCCAGGTGCTGGGGAAGCCTCACCCCGGTTGTAGCTCAATGATTCAAAACTGCTTAAAAACAACCTTTCTTTTTACCTCTTACAATAACCAACCTGGCTAAAATACCTGCCAGGCGACGTCTTGCTTTCATGCCTCGTCCCTGTCGAATGACGTAAATGCAAACGGCTGAGAGGGGCAGAGGGGATGCGGGTGGCAACGCCGCCCGACGGCTCCTCGTACGGGGAAAGCATGACATTTCCCTGTTTGCGCTCCAAACGCCCCGAAAGGCGACTCACTGCCTCGAGGGATCTGCCAGAGCGGCTCTGGGGGAAGGGAGATGCTCTTAAATCCACCGAAACCCGCTGTTTTGCCCACGATTGCCCATTTTGGACCCAGCTAGCGCCAAGCACGAGGGGCTTAGCGGCACCACGGTTTCCCGTGAAAATTTGACGCTTCGGAAGGGGAAAATTTGGATACTGAAAAGTCAAATCCAACCCAGCGGGGTGGTACAGTGTGGGGAGGGGGTGGGGAAACACCAAGAAAGACAGAAAAGCAACCGGAGCACCTACCGAGAAGAGGGTGGCATAGGTGGACAGAGCAAATTTGATGCCGTAGTAATAAAGGTGGGAATTTCGGCACTCGGAGGTTTGAGCCATCCTCGCAACTGCGACGAGAGGGGTTTGCTTGCTGCCCACCAGCCCCTCCCTGCTCCGGCCGGCTCTCGCCCTTCGCCGCCGAGCCGAAAAAACGTACACATGAACACAGGCGAGCCTTGAACTTGAACTGCTCGCTCCAACTTCCGCCTGGCAGGAGCGGAGTGCAATTAGAGGGAAGGCAGCAGCGGCACAAGCGGCCGAGCGTTAACCCTTTGCTGAGCTGGCGGCTTGGGTTTGGGTTTCGCCGCCGAGAGCAACAGCAAAGCTCTGTTTGAGTGGCTTTACTCCAATAATTATTCCCCAAAAAAGCGACAGAAGGGTGAATCTCTAGCAAATTTTTAACAGCAAATGCGTTGCAGTCAGGGCCAGGCGTGCTGGAAGACTCGTTGCAGTCCTGCAGCCACCCCAGGAGCTCAAAGGGTGAAGTGGCAGCCCAAAATCTAGGGAGAATGGGGACAAATGTCCCCCAGGCTGTGGCTCGGAGGCCAGGATGAGAGAGTGATGTGTGGATTTACCTGTTGTAGCTCACTACTGCGAGCAGCACCTCCTTTCAACACCCCCTTGAGCAGCCCAGCGCCTGTGTGAATAGGAAAAAAGAAAGAGAAATGATTCCGCCCAGGCTCGGTGAGGTTTAACGCTCAAAAGAAAAGGTGCGGGGAGCAAGAAACCGGCACCGGGAGACCACACGGCTCCTGGAAGGGTTTGTACGGCCGTACAAATGTCGTGCCAGGGAGTGCGAAAGCGATGTTTAATAAAAAGGGCAAAAAGAGGAGCTTGGAAAAGCTGCTTCTGCGGTTGGTCTCCCACGATGTTGAGGAGCGCCCGGCAAAGGGCGGCACCCTTCATTTCTGCAGCACCCTTCATTTCTGCAGCACCCTTTGCGTCTGCAGCGTGACTCGGCGCGGCTCAGAGATGGGAAGAAAAAGGGGCATCGTCTGCGACACAGCTCCCGGCCTGGGAAAGGTTTAAAAAGACCCCTCAGCTCTTGGGAGGAAGGTGCTGCTTCCCTCTGGGGTAGCCGAAGGGAGAATTTAAAGCAAAGTTTGAAGAAATAACAGCGACTCAGGGCTGCACCCGAAGACGTGGGAGCTGTGTTTACCCGGCTCTTAGCAGATGTAGAGTAATTCAGGGCAGTGGAGGAGATCACATCCCTTTCCTTTTATAAGTATATAAGCTGCAAGAGTGAGAGCAGAGATGGGATGAGAGCGATACGATTTTCAGAGGCCAGCGTATCCCAAATACCGGGGATACTACACTTCAGGATATAATAACGGGGTGAAATTTCTCCCAAGGATGACATTTCCGGACATGATTTAGCTACAGCTGGCTGCGATCAGGCTGAATGAGCAAAGAGAGCAGTCAACTTTTCTCTCCATTTTTTTAAAAATCAATCCATTAATGAACTTCTAGTGGTCTATACCAGTGCCTTCCATTCTGGTAACACCCAACAAGGCCAGAGCTGTGAACACCTGTGCAAAGCAAAAAAACAGCAATAGCATCGCCAGTACGGAGCACTTATTTTTACCAACCTTTGCCTGGAATCAGAAACTCCAACACCCGGTGGTGCGCAAGAGACATTTGGGGAGATGAATGATGTATTTCCTCCGCCCTCTCTTTCTGTTTTGAAGGATGCTCCAGCAGCTCCAACAGCTCCATCTCCTTCTGCTGGTGGGACCCCCCGAGCTGGAGGCAGCACTGCAGGGGGGTCTCCCCAGAGCAGAGCGCAGCAGAGGGGCACAATCCCCCCTCGCCCTGCTGGCCACGCTGCTGGGGACGCAGCCCGGGGTGCCGGGGGCTTTCTGGGCTGCGATGGCACATTGCCGGCTCGTGTTGAGCTTCTCACCCACCAACACCCCCAGGTCCTTCTCCTCAGGGCTGCTCTCCAGCCTTTCTCCACCCAGCCTGGAGTTGTGCTTGGGATTGCCCCAACCCAGTTGTAGGACTTTGCACTTGGCCGTGTTGAACTTCATGAGGTTGGCCCGGGTCCACCTCTCCAGCCTGTCCAGGTCCCTCTGGATGGCATCCCTCCCCTCCAGCGTC